TATTCGACTCTATCCTTTACCACTTACGCTCAGCCTACGGAATTATAACTTACATAATTAAATCCTTATTTAACTTGAAATTAATTTATTGAAAATGACTCAATCGATGACTTTACGTGATCAAGTGTTTCTTTTGGGTAAAACGAGTGACACGATTAGCGGAGATAAGTTACCAATCAATAAACAAGTTCTGAAATTATTATATTATCATACCAGACAATAAAAAAAACACTTGCAGCCAGTTACTTAATAGTTCTAGAAGAAGTGTGCAAATTTTGGAGCAGAGCTGGGATTCCAGTACAAAAAAAGATCGATGTGTGAAAAAATTAGAAAAACTCTATACCTCGTACAGATATTTACAAAAAAGCTCAAATCAAGGGCGCGAGCTTGAGTTTTCCGAATGTCTTGAAAAATTATTTGATATTGCTCATGGTGATACTCAAAATACAGTTGATAGTTTCACGGCAGATTTTTTACATTATCAAAGGCAGGGTTGTTGCGAATATTCGTATTCGCATTCGCAACCGCGGAGCTTCCGCATTAAATTTAACATTCGCATTCGCTTTCGCATTCGCAATAATCTTTTGCGAATGCGACTATTGAAGGGACCGAAAATAACAGTTATTTTTTTAACGAGTGAAACTTGGCCAAATATTTTTTATTCCAAAATAAAAGTCCTTTCCGGGTAATAAACAAACCGCTTATCCAAATTAAACAAGTTTGGTATCAAATGAAAGAGGACCTAAATAGTTTTAAAACTGATACTTCTAAACGAGAAAAGCCACCTATTGAAAAATATTTCAATTAAATATGTTAACTAATTACCATAGAAATTATAAAAAAATATAAATAGAGGTGGTCACGTTGGTTCCTTATTTCTGTTTAAAAGCTATATCAGTCCTCTTTCATATGATACCAAACGTGTTTAATTTGGACGAGTGGTTTGCTTATTATCCGGAAAGGACTTTTATTTCGGAATCAAAAATATTTGGCCAAGTTTAACTCCTGAAAAAATATAACTGTTACTTTTGGTCCCTGGAATATTGTGCAAGTGCAGAAGAACAGATTAAAAATGAATTACAAAAACTAAAATCGAAAAACGTCGATGACGTTACAGGCTCTCCAAATTCAGAAAGAACCAAAAGAATGAGAATGAAGAATTCTTTGGAAAACAGCGGTGTTTAAACAACGATGCTAGATTGTGAAGATGAAAGTCAGGAGGATACATCCGACATTTGCATTCCCGATGCAATTCTAAAAAGGGAATTATTGCACCGCAATAAAAAAATTAATATAACTGAAAGTCCTCTCAACTGGTGCAGCGTCAATCGAAAATAATTTACAATTTTGTCAAGCTTCAAGTTTTATCAAGTTTGTCGCCTCGAACGGGTAGTTATTTAGTGGCGCAGACTTGATTTACGACCCTTTAAGAAACAGACTGTAACCCGAAAAGGCAACATTACTTTTTAATAACAAGTTTTTATTGAATACAAAGTTCCAATTTTTAAATTCAAGCACTAAAAAAACATTATAAAAAATGTCTAACCTTTCAATTTTTTATTTACCTAAATCACCTAATTTGCCCGAGCTTCTCCTCCAATTTGTGGCGTGCGCCTTGATGCTGTCACACAAAGGGGAGGGGCCTACAATTTTATGCCGACTCCGAACGGCGATTAAATTTTTATGAGAAGCTTTTTTTCATGGCAGAAATACACTCGGAGGTTTGCTATTGCCTGCCGAGGGACGACCGCTGTTAAGAAAACACCTTTTTTCTATATTTTTTGGCGATGTTGCTTTGACCAGGGTTTGAACCCAGGCGTTTCGGAGTTGAAGCGCGCACTGTTTACCACTACACCATAGCGGCCGACAGCTCGGCCAAACACTACCATATGGGTAAGCGCCAATCTATTATTATCTATATATTAATACGCTAACGAAATCCCATACAAATCTGTTCCTCCCTACTGCTGCTATGAATTTCAAAATTATTTAACATAATGTATATTACTCCACCAAAAAATATAAGAGACCTAGACGATCAACAGGTGATGATGGACATAAAAACTTCCCAAGCAAAATGAAAAATTGTGTAAAAAAGTGAGGTGGTCGAATTTCGACAACGGGGTGATACTAGTTATTATTAAATCACCTAAATTATTTCTTAATAAAATTATAGTTTAAAAAATTAAAACCTCGCTATTAAAATTTCCATTCGTACTGTCCTCAGCAGCGTTGCCATTTTAGCCGTTTTCCGGCTAGATTTAGCCGGTTTTGATAGCAACCAGCCGGAGAAAATTCGATTTAGCCGGCAGCCGATTTGTTAGCCGGTTTGTAAAAAAAAGTTAGCCGTTTTTAGCCGATTTTACTATTTGCCTAATTTTCAGGTGCAAAAAGTAAACAAGTTGTTCGAAAGCAATAATGCAGACCTAATGAAGATTTTTAATGAACTCAATGTTTTACTTTCGCATCTATGCTCCCTAGTGGTTATTAGCGCGGACACATTTGATCCTATATGCTCCCCGTTGGAACCATACCTTGCTCTATTCCTCAGTTTTTTCACAGTTTTGAAGAATATTTAAAAACAAAAGTAAGCACAAACGCTTTTGACCACGAAGCCGAGAAAATAATTCGAGAAAATGGTCGCTATTTCATTATCACTTTAATAAAGGAATTACGCCAACGCCTCCCTACAAATATTGCCACACTAAAAAAAATTGACTTTTTTCGGTTGGAAATGCATTAAGAGTAATTAAACCAAAAGTATTAGTTCAACTACAGCAACAAAAACACAAATATAACGCCGACGAAATAACATCCATAGAGATGCAATAGCAACGGTTAACGTTACATACCTGGAGTAATTTAGACTCAACTGTAAATTTTTGGGCCGAAGTTTATCAATTTCGAAATGCCCTAGGAGAAAACCCTTTTGCTGACCTTTGCAACCTAGTTTTTAGTTTTCTTGTTTTGCCTATAACTAATGCAGAAGTAGAGCGAATATTTAGTTCAATGAATATAATAAAAACTAAGCAAAGAAATCCAATGTGTGTTAAAACGTTAAACGCTATTTTATATATAAGAACCGGTTCAAAACGTGAAGAAAAATGCTGCCATAATTTTACTGTAGATGACGATCTCTTAAAATTAATGAATTCAGGTGATATATACAATAGTGATTCATTTGATGATGAGGAATATACACTCGATATAAATTAATGGTTTTAATTAGTCTTTCGTTTCTTGCGATTTATTTAAATAAAGCATATGGATTTTCACTAAAACATTTTAGCCGTTTTTAGCCGCTTTTTTTTGCCAATCTAGCCGGTCGGCCCAAAAAGTTCTGGCAACACTGGTCCTCAGGTGTCTTTAAGAATGGAAGTTTAAAGCAGTTCCCATTCGTACCCTGTAGGGAAACCGCGGACTAGGGAATCAAATTTCTAGTTCCGTACTAGGTCTTCATCGCCAAAAACGAACTAGTCCGATAGGAACTAGATCCCCACCAGTCCAAAATCGGCGAAAAGTGGTACTTTTAAGAAACTAATTTTTTCTTTTTTTTCACTAGAAATCTATATCTAAAGTGACGAATTTAGAAATGGTTCGGAACTATAGAAAAAGGGATGCAAAACGAACTAGATCCTATTTGTCGAATTTAGAACTATTTCGGAACTATCGAATAAGGGATGCAGCGGTGGGCTTGTTTACTCTACATAGATATGTGCTCGGCGGCTTTTTCGTTCAAATACGCTTCTCTTCTGTGCTTCGCAGATGCTATTTCATAGTTTGGTAATACAAAACAAAGCTTTGTGTTAACATATTAACATCTTGGGGCCTACTGGAATCTAACCAATAACAGCGAGCACTTCTGCAAAGTCAGCTACAGCCAAAGGTATGTAAACGTACATTTCTTACAATCATTCAAACAAATTTAATTTCAAATTTGAAAAAATGTTTCTTTGAAAATAATGTAAAATCACACACGGAAGAACCGAAAAGATTGAAAAATCATGATACTTTTTTCTTTCGTCTGTCGATTTTAGAACTGGTTCGGAACTATAGAATTTAGGACTATTTCGGAACTATCGAAAAAGGGATGCAGCGGGCGGCAATTGACACTTCCTAGGACATCGCCATGTTAAATTCGCCAGTTGCTTGCATGCAAAAGAGATTTGTCGCGAACCAGTACTGGGTCTAAATGTACTAGAAGCGCCCCAGTTCAGAACTAGAGATTTTCCCCACAGGGTACGGTCATCAGGTATGTAACTTGAGAATGGAAATCGCTGCATCTTTTAGGCGCATCAATATTACATAGTTACATCCCGAGCTAATAAAAGCGAGGTATTAATAAAAATACTTGACATCCGCATTCGCTTCCGCATCCGCGGATGTTAGCTTTTAAACATCCGCATCCGCGGATGTCTAAAATTCCACATTCGCAACATCCCTAATCAAAGGACAGCAAAAAGGATCACTTACGTGCTTTTAACAAAAATGATAATCTTTTAAGTTACCTGGTATGTTGATGATTAATAATTGCAATGATTGAAAATTAGAATTTCTTGTAGACCACTAATTTTGTTATTAAATTTAGAAAAACTTGTTTTTGAGGAAGATATTGATTCTACTACATCTCAACCTATTGATAAAGCTCGATCAACATCTGTAGCCCGTTTCTGTAACTTTTCTCTACCGATTATTTCTCTACTGGTAGAGAAAATATGTCACTCTCACCTACTAATTAGCAGTAGATTACAGGGCGGCGAATTCATATCTCAATTCGCCTTGGTAGAGAATTGTTACAGAAACGAGCTACTGATAATATCGACTTAACACTCTCGGATAACAATCGTTCAGATTGTGGTAATTAATTCATGTGCTTGGTGTACCTCTTGATAAATTAAATTATTTTATGTATGAAAATTCTATTTTATGAAAAGTGTAATGAATAATTGACTTAATGAAACAAAACTCACTATATCTATTTTTTTGTTTTCAATTTTTAGACATAACTCTACCGCCGAGCGCAAAAAGTACATCGGAGCAACCATTAAGTGGCGAAACATCGGCCTTTTTGCAAAGCACATCTTTAATGTTTGAGGCACAGGGGCGAAATTATCAAATGAAAAATGAGAGAGGAACAATAAATTTTCTGACGGAACATGTTGTTGCTACATTCGACAATTGTAAGATTTCTTATAGAAATTCCGTAAGAATAATATCAGCTGTCGCGATGGCCCTTAGAGTAGATACTGATAATTTAATTCTTAACAAGACTTCGTTTAATGAACGTAGGTCGAAAATTCGGAAAGATGCTGCTGAACGTATGAAGAAGTTATTTGGTGACACTGAGGTTGGAGCTGCGGTGGTTCATTGGGATGGAAAATTAATACCAGATGGACTATCTAGTAAAAAGGTTGACCGAGTGCCTACATATAATAATTCGAAGCATGACCGTTGAAAAAATATTAAACGTACCGGCATTACCGGTTGGAAGAGGAATAACTCAGGCTCAGGAAATTTTCAAGAGTGTACAAGAATGGGTATTATCTGACAATATCCAAATCTTGTTTGTCGAAATGGAGCAGCAACCAATTTAGAGCAGTTTTTACAAAAAGATCTTCTGTATTTACCTTGTAGACATCACATCTACGAATTGGTCTTAAATTTTGTTTTTGTGACAAAATTTCCGGGAACTGATGGGCCAAACGTTCCTCTGTTTAAACAATTTCAGGAAACTTGGAATGTAATTGATCAAACTAAATATAATAACGGTCTTACAAGAAATAAAATTCCTAAAAAACTGTTAGCAAAAGTTGAAAAAACAAATGAAACGATCAAAAACTTTCTAAGTGAAATTCTGCCTCGCGATGATTATAAAGAGCTTTTGGAGTTGTGTCAAATTTTTCTTGGCACGATGGAAGCTGATAGTGTGAAATTTTATAAACCAGGAGCATTTCACCATGTCCGCTGGATGTCAAAAGCGATCTATTCGCTGAAAATATTCATTTTCCGGGACATTTTTGAGGTAGATCGAGCACTGCAACAAAGTCTTTTGGATATTTGTTTATTCATAGTATTTGTTTACGTGCCATTTAGGTTTACGGCACCTCTTGCAGCATCGGCTCCATATCAAGACTTGAATTTTGTAAAAACTGTACATCAATACAAGACGATTGATAAGAAACTTTCTGAAGCAGTCTTGCACAAATTCAAAAATCGTTTGTGGTATTTGAATGCTGAAGCTGCTGCTCTGGCTTTTTTCGATCCGAATATACCGATTTTTATGAAACATAAAATGATTGAAGCATTAAAATGCCATGAAGATATGGATTTTGATTACCCTAAACGCTACGTAGTGAATTCAGACAGTGAAATTATCAATTTACAAAAAAGAGATATTTACTTTTTTATTAATTCTAATTCGAGTAAATATTTTGATCCATTCAACATAAATAAAAAATTTTTAGAGTGTGATGTTGAAAAATGGTCAACTAATGATGATTACTTAGAAGGTTTGGATATTGTAAATAATCTGCAAGTTATTAATGATGTAGCTGAGAGAGCAGTTCAGTTGACTCAAGATTACATCAATATTTTGACTACTAAAGAAGACCAAAAACATTATTTAATACAAGTTGTACGTGAATACAAGGATACTTACCATAACGCTACAAAAAGCTGCTTAACAACGAAACGTGATTAAAAAGACAAAAAAATATTAATAATACATCGTAATATTAGTTGTAATGCATTGTTTCCGTTATTGTCACTGAAAAGATTGGTCAATAAAATTGTATGACAATTTTCATGAGTTCAATGATTATATTACAGAAAAATTCAATAAAACTGAAATAATTACGATTATAAGCTATGTGCATAACTTTAACCGCGTATAACTTTTTAAGGAATATTTTTATCGAAAAACCAATGAAACCTTTTTTGTAGAGCGCAAAATTTTGTATTAGATTATGTCTTTGTCAAGGTTAGAAGTCCATTTATTTTGGAGAAAAAAAATTAAATGCAAAAAGTAAAAAAATCCCATGATATTTTAATGGGAAAAGTAACAGGATTTTGGCACGATTTAAATTGAAAATTAAGAGCTTATTTAGATTGGATAATTTTTTTTAGGACAAAAACTAGAACTTCAGGGGGCGGCAGCGAAAAAAAAAATCAACTTGGGAAATAACGGACACCCTAATCTTACATACTACGAAAATGCTACTACAGCATCGACTCTACCGTAAAAGCAAGAGATGAAATCTCTGAAGTGCTACGGTCAGCCGGTTTTCCGCTAAGGAAATGGACCTCAAACTGTGCGGAAATTCTCAAGGACATCCAAAAAACGGATCTACTCAGTGAAGACTTTTTGGCATTCAAAGATAACAGCACGGTTAAGGCTCTTGGCATAAGATGCAATGCCCATTCGGATCTTTTCTATTTCATTACAAGACCATTGGCGGACCGCGATACACTTACAAAAAGGGCGATACTATAAGCTATCGCCAAGCTATTTGATCCGCTAGGATGGCTTGCTCCAATAGTCGTCGTAGCAAAAATAATTATGCAGAGTATTCGGCTAGAAGGCACAGACTGGGATGAGACTGTGTCTTCTACTACTTTGGAACGCTGGCAGAATTTTACCAAACATTACCATGAAATAGACAATATTAGAATACCTCGATGGGTACACTTCTCACCAGGAGATGACATCGAGATACAGGGTTTCTGCGACGCATCAGAAAAAGCATATGCGGCTACGGCATACATGCGCGTCAAAAGAGATGACAAAGTTTTGGTAAACCTTCTTTTGGCAAAAACCAAAGTAGCTCCTGTCAAAACCATCTCGCTACCACGACTATAACCTTACGGAGCCGTGCTGCTCGCGGAAATTATAGAATCCATAATCAACAACCTCAACCTAGGCCAAGTGAAAACATATCTTTGGACGGACTCGACCATCGTACTCGCTTGGATATGAAAGCCGCCTTGTTCTTAGTCAACCTTCGTCGCACACCGAATAACGAAAATCGTAGAAAAAGTCGGTAATAAGGACTGGTTTCATGTAAACTCGGCTTCGAATCTAGCCGATTTGTCTAGCAGAGGACTACCTGCTTCGGAATTGGTCTCAAATTTTTTGTGGTGGCAGGGACCTTCTTGGTTGCAAGAAGACAACTCTACCGAGAGCTTTGAGAGTGTTATCATTTGTTATGAGATTCAACCGAAGAACTCACCCGAAAACAAAAGCTTCATTTCAGGAAAATTTTTGTTTAATTTCATCAGATGAAATTAAGACAACGACACAGCTCTTGATAAAAATCTACCAGAAGCAATACTACGGTGAAGAATATACGAATTTGAAAACTAGAAAACCCATCGATGCAAAGAGTGAAATCCTTCCGCTTAATCCGTTCGTCGACAAGCACGGCATCATCAGGGCTGGAGGTCGCCTCGGAGCAACCCAGGACTTAGCATATAATGAGCGCCACCCAATCATTATCCCGTATAACTGCACATTGTCTCGTCTGTTGTTATAGTCCTGTTGATTCACCAAATCTCCTTACACGGAGAAAATCAACTCATGCTACGCCTTATCCCTACCCAGTACTGGATTCCCAGGGTAAAAAACATGATAAGGTCTACCATCCATAATTGTAAAATTTGTATCATCTACAAAAAACGATCTCAGACGTTTACCAGACCTTTTGACATCAAAAGCTACCGCGGCAGAGGTTGTCGAATATCCAAAGAATATGTTTGCCTCTTCGTTTGTTTCACTACTAAAGCGATTCACTTAGAAGCTACCAGTGATCTTAGCACCCCATCCTTTCTAGCAGCATTCGCTCGGTTCGTAGCTAGAAGAGGATGTCCGAAAAATGTCTACTCCGACAATGGTACAAACTTTGTCGGAGCTTGACGATCTTTACGATCTGAATTCAAAGCTTTCTTGTCTGACGCGCGAGACAAAACGACTTCCAAATACAACCATCAAACACTTACATGTCATTTTGTACCTGCTTCCGCTCCTCACATGGGAGGACTCTGGGAGGCAGGTGTAAAAAGCTTTAAACGCCACTTTAAAAAGTTGGCGTCCGCTCAAAAATACACCTTTGAAGAGCTCAGTACGCTTTTATGCCGGATTGAGGCATGCCTCAATTCGCGACCACTGAGTCCCTCTTCAAATGAGCCAAATGATCTGTAGCCGCTTACTCCAGGCCATTTTCTCACTGGTGGACATCTTATGGCTCCGCCAGAACCTGATGTGAATGAGAATCCTGAGTCCATCGTCAATCGATGGCTAAAACTAAAAGCACTGCATCAGACGTTTTGCAGGCGATGGAAAGTGGAGTACTTAGCCGAACTACAAAAGCGAATTAAATGGAAGCACCCTAAGGAGAATATGAAAACAGGTGATCTTGTGGTTATCAGGGAAGACAATCTACCCCCAACTGAATGGAGGTTAGGGCGAGTAGTCAACTTACACCCCGGTACCGATGGCAGAGTGCGCGTAGTGGACATCCTGACGGAGAAAGGTCAAGTTACTAGAACTCTAGTGAAGTTGGTTCTACTCCCGCCATACAACGATGGAAACTCGGAGCCAACCACCACCTCATAAACTACCCTTCATATGCCTTTATTATATTCCACTTCCTTTTAGCATAACATTCCACTTCTAGGTAATAGGAGGGATTCCATGTCTAACTTTTTTTTAGATAATTTGTGATAGTTTTCCGAGTTGATCTGGTCACACAAAAGGGACCATCCTCAAATCTGAATTCACAATTAAAATTGCAGAAGTAGCGAACTACTCCGCTTCAGAATGAGATGCAAGCGGTCGAAGATTAGCAAGTTTAGCGAACGAATTCACGAAACATACAATTGATGACTCCGGTGTGTTTCTTATGAACAAAATCGTCAGCTCCTTCATAGTAGTAATTTGTTTTCCATACGTACTGTGACCATCCGCCCTTTATTTTAAAGGACAGTCCTTTATTTTAACCCCATGTCCTTTATATTTTTTTTTTTTAAATAAAGGACGCGTTTTGTCCTTTATTTCTTAAACTGTCCCTTAAATCAGCTCTGCATTTTTCAGAGGTAAATTTTTCAGAATATGAAAAATAAAAACGTTCCTTATAAAATATAATGAAAACCTTCGTCAGTTTGTGTCGTACCCCACTTAAGGGTTTTTATTTAATAGGTAATCTTTGCACAATCTATAAAGCACGGGGAAAGTTTTGCCCGGGATCGTGTTGCACGCTGAGTTTCCAGTTCCACTGAAAGAGAACAATAAACGCCCTGACGCACAGTGGTTCTAAACTGGCATTTAGTGTTCGTAATTCACTGGAGCCTTAATTTTTTCACTTAATTTGATACTTTTTTATTAAAGCTTGTAATATTTGCAAGATACCAGTTGAGCCTGGTTTGTGAATTTTTATTTGATTATAATAATTTTTTTAGTGCAAAATGCTGAAAAAGTGGCAATTTGACGAAAATGGAGAATACATTAGTTATAAATGTTACATAACAAAGACTAGTTAAAAACAATTGTGTGGTTCCCCAAAACGAAAAAATTACAAAAAATTTTTGAAATGTTATAAAAAAGGTTCACAAAAATTTTTTTGTTTTTGAAGACTGCGGTGAATTATGAACATTAAATTCCAACTTTAAACCACTGTGTGCTGACTTCGGTAAATGTATTTTGGCAGCAAAGGATGACGAAGTCCTTGAAAAGGATTTGGCTTTATTTTCGGGAATCGGTTAATTAACTGGTAAATATTTGATTTAAATTACGATATGGGTAAGGTACTTTTATCATACAAGTTGTATGCACGTATTCCCAAATAATTTTGAAAAAAAAATGTCCTTTATTTTACATTGGTTAATATGGTCACCGTATCCATACGTTGCCCTTATTGCAATGCACTTGACAAAAAAACACAATTGAATTAGCTTTAAAATCGTCGGTTTGATAAAAAATGGGGAAAAATAACAAACTAATATACTTAAGCTTTTGGAGAATATGCGTTAGCCGGCTCTTCAACATCACTTTTCTTTAATTGGAGAATATTAATTTCAACTGCCTTATGGATTTCCAGCTAAGCTTGCATTTGGGTACCACTCCTTTGTACGTGTGTGCCAATGAGTAATTGAAGATGTGGCGTATCAGTGTCTGCATTTCAATCACACAGCTAATTACTCTATGCAACGATACTTCACGCTTTCACAGCGGCACTACGCTCTCATTGGATGCCTTACGTCCACGGAATATTTTTTCTTGAAAAGCAGCGCTATATCAAATCAAAAGTAACTGGTGAACCAAACTCACATGCAGCCTGTTACCTAACGCGACTGTATATCATCAAATCTCTTTAGCAAATGATCGGCCAATATAGATCATGGGTAGCTGAGCACAGGAAGAGCGTCGATGTGTGGATGTGTGCCAAAAAGAGCGTGCACTGCGCATGCAGCACGAAGGGTGGCGACCCTACAATATTTATGCATCAGTATAACGTGACAGCAATGGGCTCAAGGAATGTCTTAATATTTAAAGCAAAACGTTGAATTGGCAATTATTTTAATTAGTTCGGAGTAACGTAGGAAATAAATATTCCCGTTCTGCGCGTGTAAATAGTAACGTGATTTTAAGGGATTAGGATTGTCTTGTTCGAATCCTCCGGTCATCACGACTAGCTTAGCTCTCATTTACGCCCCGCATAGGACAGAGCAGCTGATGTATGCACCAGCTCCGCAAGACAGCGTACTTCCCCATCGTCTGTTGTGCAGGTATGACATATGG